TTCTATTTTCCATAATTTTCCATGTTAATGTTTGTTTGCAAATAGCAAAATATGAAGAAGTCACCAGATTTGACAACACAATGCTGCTTTCTCTCCAGTGCTGTCTGTTTCATTATTTTCTCTCTATTTATCCTTTTAAGCCGAGTGAAATAACTGCAACTGGATGTGAAAACATTGTCCAAGAGAGGCAACAAATTTGTCCCTTAAATTAAATGCTTTTTGTACAAAGCAAAAGAGCAGCACTGGGATTTTTTTTTTTTTTTTTCAAATTAAAGAAGAAAAATGATCAGCGGGAAGTGAGATTATTTTGTTCATTCAACCTATTAAACAGCACAAATGTAGCCACTGACTTGAGGTAACTCCCTAGCACAATTCACAGGCCCAACACGAATATATGTAATCCAGGACTACATAAACTGTGGTAATTATGTATGCTTGCATGCTTTTGCATTATGGATTTTATTATCATTTTGTACAAACTGCATATCATTGGAGACTTTAAGGGAACCTGCATATTGTTTATTTTTAACTGATTATAATTGAAATCTTCAGCCTGTTTTATTGCTGCGTTTATAAACATTATCATCATCTTATATTTAGCTATGTTAATCCATGTATTAAAAGACCTGTCAGTCACTCAGCGTGGGAATAATAGCAGGTTCAGATCTTCTGCTTTGGTGTTTTGGTGGTGGGGGCGACCCTTTTATTTACTGCTGGATTATGGGTTGTGCTCTTCGCCCACCTCTATAATAATTACTCAGTGTTTGTTTGTTGAAATGATATAATCAGTGTGTTACTGCTGTTTTGTCATGAATGTCAAGACACATTCAGGAGTTCACAGAGTCTCCAGACCATCTGAGCCCTGCCTCGTGCCATTATATAGGTGAAATTACAGGTCATTACTTTCAGGTCAAAGTCCCTGAACACAGAAAGGTGACCTTTGGCTGGGCGTGGGCGCACGTGTTGATGCAGCTGGCTGTTCTGGGAATATTCTATTGTTTATGGATCACATCAACATCTCCAGCCCTTTTTATGTCTCGGCTACAGTGTCGATGGGTATGAAAAATAGGTAATGATCAAAAACATGGTAATGTGCGATGAAATACACACTAAAAGGCACCCTGCGGACAGACTAAATTGCCGGGTTGGGTGTACACACACACAAAAAAAAAAGGACTCACAGAGAGACGGAGACAGAGAGACAGTGAGGAGAAAGAGAGAGGGAGCTCACTTAGCTTTACAGTGTGTGCGTGTGTGTGTGTCTCTGTGCATGAGCCTGCAGACACCTGCTCCATTCTGCAGTGATGGCTCCCAGCGGGACACAGGCTCAGCTGCTGATCACTAGGCCCTCCCTGCAGCACTGGTGGCCAACACACACACACACACACACACACACACACACACACACACCCACACACCCACACACCCACACACAGCCCTTCCAACAAATCTGAACCCTTCAGGCCCCCCTCGCAGTGTCTCTCAGCCTCTCTGTGCTCCCCATAACTGACACACCACATGTGCTCATATCAAACATGACATGATGTCCACACACACAAAGCTGCACAGTCTGTGTTCATATGATGTTGCATGTAAATTCTATGACACGGTGCAGTCATAACCGGCTCCAGTTTGATATATGCTTTAGGGATGGTATGGTTGAATAGCATGTCTTTTTTCTTCTACCCTATAGCGCAAAACTTTACTGAACAGAACCCTACATTAAACCTCCATATTACATGACGCTGTAATTTCAGTTAAAAAGGAAAAGAATAAACACTTAACACTTCACATAAACACTTTCGTATTGCTAAGATTCGCTTTTTGGCAGATCATTTAATGGGTAACGTTCGTAAAATATAACACAACCACATTTTTTTTGTCCGTCCTGTATTAATCAGCCACCATTGTACTTGTGGCATGACTCTTATTGTCAGTGCTGTATTTTGCACATATCTCCATCTCTGTTTCTTTCTCGACGAGTATCTTTTTCCTTTGTGGCGTCGTTCAGTCTGCTGCACCTGTTTGTGCCTCGCTGACAACAGGGTTGTGGAGCATAAATGAACTAATTTCCTGGATATAGAGAACACTGCAATCAAGGAAAGCGGAAATGCAGCGAGCGGCAGATGGAAGAAGCTAATCATTGTTATGAAATAGAGATGACCTCTAACTATCTCCTAGCTGCTAATATACCGTAGCTACACACGTTTGCCAGCCACTGTGCCATGTACCCCTTCTCACCTTCTTCCTTCTTTTGCCTGTTTGTTGTTGTGGTGATGATGAACCTCTCAGGCAGGTTCTGAAATGCAACCCTCTTTTTTTAAATGTTGAAACAGAAAAGATTGGAGTTGTCAAACAAAGCCTAGTGTCACATAGAGAACGGCAGCTGCCTGCAGTGGGTAATCAGTGAAGCTTTCTACAAATTAACAACATTCAGCTCTGAAGCACGGCGCACTGCAGGTTTTTAGATGTGGGCTTTTGAAAATTAGATCTCAGAGACTGAAATACGGAATAACAACAATTTACAGTTCAGTTTTTCCTCACGTTCTTTTAATTTTATCAGCTCCGTCTAAAGTGACTTGGCTGAGATTTTCACCCTAATGCCATAAAACTGATACTGCAGACGCTCATTTTGAACACGGGGATATCAGTTTAAATTTCATTAATTGCATACTGAATCTCCTCTCTGTGTGCCTGATGGGTTCAGAAGTAAATTCTTTGAATGCTCTTTTAAATGTACCATCCTACAGCTTGAAACACAACTGAGAACATGTGCAAATACAAACAGACACAGAGACAAGACGTGTAGCACAAACACACACACACACACACACACAAATAATCTAAACGACCTGAACACACAGTGTTGCCAGGGGAAGTAACGGTAAACTTTGCTGCAGTCGAATAGTGTGTTGGAGGACAAAAACTGTTGTTGTTTATTCATTTACCAAAGCACTCTTTTAATGCAGTGGTGCATTTAATGGAAATGCAGAGTAGAAGCTTATTTTTGAACGGTAATATTAGACAAAAGTTTCAGTGATTAAAAGATAAAATAATGTTTTATGAAACAATTAATTTCCCCCATATTCAATAAACTCTACAGTGTTTCACTACCGCTACAGAATTGTATTTCCTTTTGATAGTACCGACGTAAAAAATGTGATGCTGCTTTTGAGGCTTTACACACCAAAGCCACCGTAATCTTCCAGCACATTTATCTAATGTATGCAAATGATCTTGCTGTGCTTAATGAAGGCACCATTAATCACTATAACGATGGCTTTTTTAACCAGGGAAATCATGCGTGCACACACGCACACACACACACACACACACACACACACACAGGCACTCTTTCAAATGCATACACAAGCACATGCGCTAACTTGCCCACACACACGCACACATACACACAGAGGAACACGCCTCATCACCAGCAACACATTGATGGCAAATGTGCGAAATCACAAAAACAAACCATTACCAAACCATTTTACCAGAAATTTAACTATGTATGATGAGGACCTCATAGTGAATTCATTTGAATTCATTTAATCTGTACTAGTCTGTATCTTCCTTACTACCCTGTGTTAAATTTAACGTAATGTGCAACTAGTCATCTCATCATCATGTTCCACCCTGGAATTGACTGGTTAAGTAATCACCTCAAATTCCATCTAATAAGATGTCGATAAGATGCATCAAAATACGTTAGCATGTCAATCATATTTATATAATAAATTCAGCTAATTAGTTCCACTGGTTTCAACAAATAATTTATGGTCCAGCAGCTTTATGCAAACAGCAGATAACACTGTTGTGAGTCAAAAAAGGGGCAGTGGGAAAAACAGTAATTTTGTGTGCTGTATAATAACAACAAAACACTGGCAGACGTCTTTGAACTCATGTAAGAATTCAAAGGAAAAAACTGAAAAACATTTTTGAAGCCCAACTCCTCACGGACGTATTTCAACGCTTATCCTCGCCGTGCATTTGCATACAGTTGACGGAAACCCCTGGGTACAGTCAGCAGCATGACAGTGGGTTATGAAGGCTTCCGGGAGGCTCTGGGGTGTGGATCTGAGCCAGTTTAAAGGGGAGCCGAACCAATGAAGAGCCCACAGCGGATTAGACACCCACAGCTTCATGTCGCTTTAATGCGGCGAGTCAGGGATTTTCTTACAACGCTTTTGCCTAAATGCTCAGGGTTTTCTCATGCCCCTTTTTCTCTCTCATTCCCTTCCCCTTGAAGTAATCTTTTCTATGTAAATGGCAAAGTAGTGTTGATTCCAGTGCAAAATATCCCATCTATCTACAGTGTACAGTTCCTCCATCTTTTGCTAATGTGACCTGTCAGATGGTGATTGGAATTGAATTGAATTGATAGTTACGATCAAATGTCATTTGAAATCTATCACCTTACACAGCTCTACATCTCCTAAGGGTGTCAAAAAAAAAATCTTTCCTCATATAAAGTTTCAACATATTAGAACTGAGGGTGTGCTGCTAATGTCTGTTTGCTGATTTACTATGAAAGTTAATTGATTATCAAAAGGCAAATACAAACATTAAATGCAAATCTCACAGAGGCAAACAAAATTCACAAAATACAACAAACATAAAATATATTACCCTCACAAACATACACTCACACACACACACAAACACCTCAAATTCCCTTGATAACAGGCTGACTGGCAGAGGCTAAAGACGGAGTAGGCGTCCGTAATTGAACAAACATAACAATGTAAATATTTACTAATACTATCCATTGGGGATACAGGCAGAATCCCACAATTGATTTGCTCTCTTTCTGCTCTTTTCCTCACACACACACACACACACACACACACACACACACACACACACACACACATATAGAGATTCACACTTGTACTAACGACCACTCTCCTCTTCTTTCCCTTTATTCTTTCCTTAATATTACGTTTGCCTGAGTTCAGTAAAGAGATGGAGATATATTGGTCTGTCTATCCTCTTACCAGGGGTGACCTGTAGCCCATCTGGGCTGGCGATGACAGGAGATCCCTGGGAAATAGCGGCGAGTGCGTCTCGGGGACGGAGCCCACGCCACTGGCTGCTAGTCCCGAGAGCTGCCCGTACCTCGCCATCATCTTGAGATGCTGCTCACAGAACACACACACTCATACACAGACACAGGAGGAGAGGGGAGGAGAGAGAGAGGGAGAGAGAGAGAGAGAGAGAGAGAGAGAGAGAGAGAGAGAGAAAGAGGGAGGAAGGAGAGAGAGAGAGGAAAAAAAAGAGAAAGGGAAGGGGTGTGAGAGAAGGGAAGGAGATAACAGCAGGTAGGAAGGAAGGTAAGAATGGTAAAGGACAGAAGAGGGAGTGGGGGGGGGACATGAAGAAAGAGGAGGTAGAGGGGGATTACAGAACACTTTGCTCTCACACAAATGCATGTGTGAACATACACACATACACATACACTCACACTTACAAACATACTGTACGTGCACATGAAGGCACACACTACTATTTTAGCCCCAGGTGGGCAATTTCACAAGCAAGCCTATGTTTGATGGGTTTGATAGCTACCTTGGTTTGGTTACAGTAGGGGGATATAAAGTCGAGACACTAGCTCTCCATTTATTATTACAAGCCAGGATGAGCGTGAGAAGCGTAGCAGTCCCCTTTTGCTTCGTACCGACCATCGTGCCGGGGAAATATAATAAACAGCAGCTGTTATCAATCATGCCCTTTGCCTTCTGGCTATAAGCATACAGAAGTGTACAGACACGCACACGCACTTACATAGGATAACACACATGACAGAATGGTTGGCAGCAGACATACACAGGTGAGGTGTGGAGAAAGAAGCAAATCCAAAATCTCTTTACCTCATTGCTCAACAAAGCGGCGTTGAGTGTTCGGCTTATTTCGAACATGTTCAGAGTCGGTGCTTTTTTCGTTCTGTCCTTTTATTTTCAGATTCTCTTCAGTTCTTTGCTCCCCTTTTTCTTGTCTACGGTTGGGAGTCAGTCCCGGGAACACAAAAAAGAAAGAAAGAAAAAATGAAATCAATTGAAAAAAAGAGGGGGATAAAAAATCCTCTTTAATTTTCTGATTTTGGAGTTATGATTTTTCAGTCCTCTATATTTTTCTCTCTCTCCCCTGTCTGTTGATGCACCTCTGCTGGCTGTGGCTGTAGTGGTGGCGTTTGTGCCCAGGGTCTCCGCACACGTCTAAGGAGTCAATATGCTGTATTTTTTTTTCTCTTTTTTAAATCTCCCAAGAGTCAGCACATTAAAACAGGCAGTCAGGCAGTCGGTGGGTTGGTGGGTCGAGCTGGCGGGCTGGCTGGCTCCCTTATCTGTCCCCCACACACTGGCTCACACAATACGCTCCGATCCTCACACTGCTCGCTAGCAGATTAGCCTGTCCCAAAACATAGCACTTAGTTTAAACTCCCCTCCCTTTTGCTCTCTCTCTCTCTCTCTCTCTCTCTGTGTATCACTCCCTCTGGCTCTCTCCTTTGCTCTCCCTCCCTCCCTCTCTCGCTCTATCTCTCTCTGCATCACTCTCTCTCTCTCTCCCCCCATTGCTCACGCATTGATGCAGCTACAGTTCACCGTGCTACCACAAGGTGGGAAGACTGTTCTAGCAACAGCGACACCATCGCCGCCACATCCCTTCCTCTCCGTGCCACTCCTATCTTTCAGATTTGCCTCTCTTCTCCTCTTTTCATGTGTAGCTATAACACACAAGTATAAATGGTGAAGGAGTGTTTGCATTTACAGTAGCTCTCACTCCCTGACCAGATCAAACATACAGCCTGGGATAAATGAATTGGTGAGGTGTGTGAGGACTAATATTGTTTGGTTCTGTTATCTAATTATGTCTTTTACAAAAACAGGATGTGGATTCAAATGTGGAAAAGGGCTCTCAAAGACTAGGGAAAGGAAAGCTTTCAGCACTTCCTTTGAGGTGTTTTTGTGAAAGACACAAGTAAAGTAATGGAATGTAATAAAACCAGTACACTATCGAGACACCTTAAAGAGAGTGGAAATGAAGGGTACCTCTCAGTAATAACTACCAGAGGAAAAACGTGAGGGTTGGGCTGATGTGAGCATCAAGGTCAGGTGGTTGTCCTTTTCCTCAGCAGGGTGTGGCACAGCGATGACGAAGCAGCCAGTCACAGACACGGCAGGAGATCCCAACTAAGGAACAAACAACCATGCAAAAAAAAAAGGAAAAAGGGAAATGTGAGCCAAGAATATGATTCACTACAAGAATATGATTCAGTCGATAACACCTGAGACATTTCAGAGTAATGACTCATAGTGTACTGTATCTGCATCCAGTGAAATGTAGGAAAAAAATCCAAATGTTTATGAAATTAGGGCTGTGTTTAAGGAAAATAAAAGCAGACAAAATATTTTATGAAAGTAATGCTGTTGGAGTGGTTGGCAATTGTCATCATCTTCACTAATGCTAATCTTAGCGGTGTCTTTCTTGCAGCTTCATCAGCAAGGCAAAGGACTTATTCCCAGTGCTTTGAATGTGCTTTTTGCTGTCTTGGACCAGAGTGGGGAGAGTGGCCAGTTAATAGCAGCCTATTGACACCGGACCATCTGTTTAGGTGGACACTGTCCAGCACAGTGATGAGAGGGAGGGAGAGAGAGTGAGAGGGACAGAGAGAAGAGTGGGTGATGACAAATCAGTGAGAGAGAGGAGTACCGGTAAAGGTACAACGCAGAGGAAGTGTTCGGAAACAATTTGTTTTAACAGATGTTTATGTCGGACAGGGAGGGAAAAATATGTAGAGACAGCAAGGATGTGGCATGTAATATTGTTTACATGTTTTAAATGAGCACATTTTTTCTTTTTACATTTTCATCACTAACAGGATGTGTGAAGGTATCATCAACAACATCACTGTGTTATGGCAATGTTGTACTGTCTTGGCTTCAATTCAATTTATTTTTTTTCTCCCTCAGAAAAGGACTGCTAGCCACATCCCTGTTCTGTAAAGCCCACAGTCTCTGGGGATGGCTGGTCCGGCAGAGCCCTGGGGGGAGCTGTCAGTTGAATCATCCAGAGTGAGGGCTGATTCCTCAGTCAGCTGCCTCTCAAGCCTTCCTCTCTGACCCAGCCTCTCTCCCCTGAGCCCCCTGATTGCTGTCACCATAGTGATTCTCTGTGTACTGCCGGCTGGTCTCTGCACCCCCCCCCCCCCGCCCCCCCCCCCCCCCCCCCCCCCCACCCACCACCACCACCACCCAACCTGCCTCTCACAACCACCCATTTCCAACTCACTGCCACTAGCGCCCTGTGTTTTGATTTTTGCATGACTTCCTTCTTCACTGATGATGGATGTTATGAGTGGAAGTACTTAGCTGACCAGAGTAAAAAGGGTTCCCCTGTACTTGCTGGAGTACAGATACAAAAACATAGATTGGCACCCACACGCGTCACACACACATCGAGCTTCAGGCTGGAAATATAAACAAGAAATTCATTGTGTCAGTTTTTTTTTCTTACAGTGGTGGTACTGAGCTACAAGCACTGACTTATTTGATCATTTTATAGGCTAGAAGAAAGACTATCTTTCTGAGAGAATGAAAAGCAGGGCTTGGAAATATCTTTGCTGTGCCAAAGCTATTGTTTCCCCCAAGGGGCTTCTGATATGTTCTGCACAGGATTGTGATGCCGTGGTGTATCCTCCAGTCACTGGCAACCCACACTTAAAATAGCCACAATTTCTTAAAGTTACTGTAGATTCTGTATTTCACCATGACAGGCATGTCTACATGTGAACCACATTCATATCTGCAGAAATCATTAGAGGTCAAAAATGTTTTGATAAGCATGTAAAAATACACTCTCCTGAGAGATAATTAAAATTTGAGAGGCCATAGTGTGGATTGTACTTCTCTTTCATGTTATTCTGTTTTCCAGTGATGGATGTGTTCATTAAATCATTGCTGCACTTTGCAAACACCATGACAAGAAACATACTGCATGCATGCAGTGTTACTTGGGCAGAGAGAAGAGGGGTTACTGTTGAAAGTGTTGTTATTTTTTCATCCCTCTTCAAACATATTTTAAGGAGGACACAACATTATAGAATATGAAGCTTTGAAAGCAAAGGAAAACCATCAAGAAATCACTAACTGCAACTCAACACTTTGCTGTAACATCATCAACTATTCTAGTTCCAACATGGGACACCATGTGTTATCACATCACAGCCATATCACATAATTGTGAGTAATTATTAGATTTAACTACCAAATGTGAGTATTGTCCATTACGTCATGTTACATACAGTATCTAAAGTGCTCCAAATCTGGCAGAGACAAGCCAGAATCTTGCGGTAAATTCAACTACTTTTCTGCAGTCTTTGTATTTGATAAGCGCTGAGAAACAAGGGAAACATGTAGCGTATCTAATTCATTTTTCTCATGCTCCATAATTCAATTTCAATCTCCTCCTTGAAAATGAATGATTGTACCACCATAGACCTCTTTAGTTGGCATAGTGTTAAAGGAATGACATAGCATGGAGGACAGCTATTCAATTTTCAATTTTAACGAAATATTACACAGCAGCTCTGTATTCTCTTCCTGTCATCTGAGAAATAATCAGTCCGACCTATCTACTCAGCAGCCTGTTGATGCTTGCCATCAAATACAGATCACACACAGAGAGAAAAACCATTGCCCTCTCCCTGGTCTCATTCATTTGGTCCTGTTACACACAGCTTATAACCTGAAAATTAGCAGCAGTCTGTATGCCTCTTGCTCCAGGAGTTGTGCGGCTGCTCATTTGATGTACTTAATCAGGTGCAGCCTTTGTAATGGGAAAGGAATAGGGCCAGGCTTGATTGGCCTTGATGACATCTATGCTCCAATTGTCTAGAAAACCTCCAGCTTTAATCGATCTGCAGGATAATTCACAGTCTCTGGCTGCTGTCTGCAATGATTGGCCTTTTTTCTCTGAACCATTAAAAATGCAGGTATGGCTGCAATAAAACTGAGGTGTGTACAATTAACTGATTACAGTTTAAAGGCAGTGCATTGGTTATTTCTAGTTTACTGGTGCCCACAGAATGTAAATGTCAAATGTATACTATACTGCACACTAGTATGAGGTTTTTCCTTCATTATAGTGACAATATTATCACCACTGAATGTTTTTGAAAATGGGGTTTCAGATGAAGAGAAAAGCTTTATGTATTTAGGACACAAATTTTTGTAAGCCACACTGACCAGTGACTTATCAGGGTCAGAAAATTTTTGCGTTTCATTTCTGTGCATTTGCTAGTTGGATCATATATAAATAGTATTTGTTAGCTGTATTTATTAGTTTGTGTACATTGCTGGAAGTGCAGAAATCAATCACACACAACACATCAATCTGTTGTTATTCTGCTATTTAGTGCATATAATTCTGCACGGAAACTGAAAACTGCCTCATCTTACCTACCGCATATGGACTTCATATGTAGACTTGTGTCTTGTATGTCTGCAGCGATGCACTGATGGGGATGACAGCGCCTCTCCCTCTTCCTCCTGCTCCGTTGCCGGGGCAACACACAGAGAGCGTCGGCTGCTCTGTGACAGAATGGAGAGGAAGATGGAGGAAAACACTGTAAGAGACGTCGAGACTGGTGTGTAAAAACGAGCCTTACCTAGCTTCCTCTTCATTGTTATACAAGCAAAAGGAAGCGCACGATACCCTGTTACCTGACAAATAATATGTGCATGTTTCAGGCTTGCTGCGTGTTCGTATTAACGTAACGTGAAGTGTGCTAACCTTCTAGCTAGCAGGTACAGGGATGTAAACAACAGTCATGTCATCAGCTTGTTATGAGCTAGCTTTGCAGCGACACACGTTAGCCAACCATATAACTAACTGTACGCGGACAGTGAACCTCACGGAAGGACTTTAGGTAGCTGCTGGCATGTTAACGTGAACCACTTCACCATCAGGGCGAGCAATAGTAAGTGCAGGTGTAGTGGCTATGTGTATCTGCTAGCTAGCTCTGTTACCTGGATTAGTCAGGAATAGCTTCTCCAGTGAAATGCTATGTAGCTAATTGGCTAGCTCTCGGCACCTGAAGTTGTTATTGCTTTCCTTAAATTGGTCTTTGTCTGTTGTCCTCCGAAATTAAAGCCATAATCCGTGAACAAATGCCAACAAATTTTAAGCACCACGGCAAAAAACACAGCGATTTGCACCTAAAATTAACTGACAGGTCTTTAAATACAAGGACTAAATGAATACTATCAAAAGTTTGTGATGTTTTCTGTTGTGACACAAAATGTGGTTCTAAACAGTAAAACAACCTATATTTCAAATGCTGATTACACGAAGCGTGTGTTTTCACTTCAGTATAGA